CCTTTTATACATATATGGCGATGAAGATAATGCGATTAAGAGTCAGCGATTCGCTTACAGTGGCTTTTAAAAACGTTGGCAAAGACACAAAGATAACAAGGCAACAAATTGAATCAGAAGATTACGTCAACCAGTGTATTGAAAGTAACCTCGCCTTCCTCAGATGTCTTCCTAATTCAATTTGGTATTGGGCCGAACGAAAAAGGGACTTGTTTGCCATAATCAGACAATTAGGGAAACCTACAATGTTTTTAACACTGAGTGCCAATGAAATAGGTTGGATTCCACTTCTGCAGACAATATACAAATTGAAGAACAATGGTGCGACGATTTCCGACGAAGATGCGGTTGGACTTCATTACGTCCTGAAAAGTACACTAATAACTGAAGATGCAATTACCTGCGCGATATACTTTAATAAATTAGTGAATGTTTTAATGACCATCTTACAATCAAAGAAATGTAACCCATTCGGTGAATATCGTGTTCTTCATTATTTTAAACGAATCGAGTTCCAACATCGCGGAAGCCCTCACGCGCATATACTACTATGGCTCGATAATGCTCCAGCTGATCCTCTTGGTGCCAACAAGCAGGATGCAATATCACTTATTGATAAATTGATTTCAGTTTCTTCAAAGGAAGCCTCAGGACACATCAAACTTCAAATCCACAAGCACACGTTCACTTGCTTCAAGAAAATAGTTGCTAATAGAGCACAAAAATGTAGATTTGAAGCTCCTTTCATGCCATGTCGGTCAACAATCATTTTGATACCAATGAAAAAACTGAGCCAGAATTCGCTAAACATTGGACACATTATAAACGCATCAGAGCAAATTTGGAGACTACGGATTATGAAGATATAGATTCATTCTACAATAAAAACCAAATTACTTCGGATCAACATTATGAACAAATATTACGAGCTGGAATTACGCGGCCAAAAGTTTTTTTGAAACGCAAAACTTCAGAAAAGTGGCACAACGCATTCAACCCGTTCATTTTTCGTACATTACAGTCCAACACCGACTTCCAGTTCATTCTTGATAAATATTTCTGTGCTGCCTACGTTGTTGAATATGTCAATGAAAGCAACAGGGGTATTAGCAATTTGCAACGACATATTATTAAAATAATGGACGAGCATCCCGAATTCGACATTGTAGAAATTACAAGGAAAATGAGTGTCGACCTGCTCAATATAGTCGAAATAACTAGCCAAGAAGCAGCGTGGTACTTACTAAGTGAACCAATGTCCGAGAGTTCTTGTATTGTCGCCTATATCCCAACTGTATGGCCGATTGAACGGCAGGTAATCAGGAAAACTCTGCAAGAACTAGAGAAAATGGATGTTGACGACGATTCAACAGACATCTGGAAAGAAAATTGGTACGACAAATATCAGAACAGACTCGAAGACCTTGAAGACGTAACGCTAGCGCAATTTGTGGCCTATTACACCCTCAATTCAAATCAAGTATACGTCGGACAAAAACAGTCACGCATTATACGTTATCGTAATCACGTCATGGCTAAAGATTTCAATGAGTACAAACGAGAAATGGTGATTCTGCATTTACCTTTTCGAAACGAAAACACACAACTCTTACATGAAATGAAATGGATTGGACTGTATGATGATAACGAAAATCTGATATTACAACGTCGAAAGGAATTCGAATCAAATTTAGATCTTCAGAAAACGATTCAGATTTGTAGGGAATTATGCCGCGAAGACGAAGACTTGGAACAAGACGAAGAACATGATCTACCTGGAAGAGTGCCAGAACCTGATCCATTTCAAGAATTGTATAACAATCCTAATGCAGAAATGAATGAAGAATTCAGGTTAGCGGCACTCAAGAAACTTGGTACTATTACTAAAAAGAGGGAGAATTTGATGGACAACGACAGATTTTATGAACTTATGAGGATGGCGAACGATAAACAACAGGAACTGTTAATGCACGTGATTCATAATCTGTTATCTAAAAACCGAGAGCCATTTAAAATATTCATTACTGGACCTGCAGGATGTGGGAAGACTTTTGTCATCCGATTGTTGATGGAAATTGTAACAAAAATGTCACTGCAGACTCCTCCCCACCCTCTGGCTCGAGGTCCCCACAGTAATTGCGGATACTTAGTATTGTTAATCACTGATTTTTAGTGTTCTAGCTATTATATTTAGGATAAGATTCCTCTCCTCCACCCCTCCCTCCCTGTCACCATTCCCCCGTAGGGCACTGGCTCGAGGACCGGCATCGAGGACATCATCGTGAACCAGCATCGAGGACCCAGCGTCCAGGAAGGATTGAGAGAGCGGCTACGTTCGCCGAGGCAGCGGAAGGCAGGGATGGCATTGGCAGGAAGGACAGCTGATCGAGTCGCCCGTGGGATGGATGCCCAGCCACCACCATCGCCACCAATATATGCAGCCCCGGTGCAGTCCCGTCACAGGGGCAGGAAAAAGCCCCGTGTGACAGCGGTGGAGCCCTCTCCCTCCGAAACCGCGGACGTACCCGGGAAGATTTTGACAGGCCTGGAGGCCGCCATATTGACCGGCGCGCGCAGCCAGCACAGTGCCGCCGCCACGAGGCTCTGGAAGGCCTGGCAACACAGCCCATTCAAAGAGGACCAATGCCCTGCCATGCCGGAACTGCCGACTAATGCCAGAGCGCGTAGCCCTCTCAGCTGAGCAGCCCAACCAATCAGCGAGGCCCTGGAGGCCCACGAGGGCCAGGACAACCGGAAATCTCTTCACTTCGAGTCAGGAACGGGATACGAGCGTGCGGTGCGAATTTTGAGTGCGAGAGTGATTGCGATTTGGATTATTGTGAGTGTGGATTACAGTGTGACGAGCAATTGTTGCGTGAGTACGGAGCACTTGTGCTTCTTTCCCTTTTCTATCCCTTTTTCCCTATCCCCATTTTTAGTCTTTACGCGGTAGATTTTCTACGACTCTCCAAGACATCTGCGAGCCGGCCCACGTGGCCTAGCATTTTGGCAGTTTCTTTTGTATTTGCGACGGGCCTTCCGCCCACAAACTCGAGGCCCGTGGTATATTGCGTGCGCCCTAGTTTTAGTATCTTGCGCTCCTCCCCAAAGCCCTCCGCCCCTCCTTCTCCTCCCGCCCTTTTCCCTTTTTGCGTTCTAGTACCGAGGTAATTTCTAAGTAGCTATATTCGCGTTCGGGAACCTTCCTCCCTAAGACTCCCTCACCTCTCCCTCCGCTAGCCTAGCCATCTCCCGTCAAGTAAACAAACGAGGACCTTTCGGGGTCGGTGCTACACCGTTACCGTAGCTGGCGTCCATATATTCCCCGAAGCCCCTCTTCCCACTAAGCCCATTTAAATCCTTCCGTCCCCATATGCCCCCGAGCGAGCACCCGCGTGTTATTATTTTTGCGTATCCCGTTGAGCACTGCGTGTATTCCATATTTGGCCTATTGTCTTCTCTATCTCTTTTGTGTCAGTATTTGCTTTGCTAATTACACTTCTTTTTTTTTACTTCACCACGTGTCCCCCTTTCTCTTGCGTGACCCTCACCCCGTAGTTTTTTTGCGATAGCTAATTCGAGCAGACCGTGGGCGGACAAACTCTGCCCATTACGTCACAAAATATACAATCGATTCTTAAACACTGACGGACATTGTAATGCTTACATCACATGTGCATCAACTGATAAAGCTGCCGTAGCAATAGGCGGCACGACAGTTCATACTGCATTGAAAATATTGTTGTCTAGGTTACTTCCATTATCTGTTGAAGTTGTGCAACAATATCGAGTCCTCTTCCCGTTCGTCGAAGTGCTAATAATCGATGAAGTGAGCATGATAAGTGCAGAATTATTGTCTCATATCAATGCAAGATTAAAACAAATTACTGGAAAATACGATGTAGAATTTGAGGGGATCGACATAATACTAATTGGCGATTTGCGGCAGTTACCTTCAGTCAGGGCAACACCAATATACAGGGTGAACCACGGAGCGTGATCAGTAGAGATTACTTTGTTATTAGCAGACGGATCGAAAATGTTTTTATCAGCTTTTGCATGGTTTCAAGAGAGCTTTAACGTGATAGTGAAAAATTACAGGTCAACTCTCTTTTTTAATGTTTTTTCAAGGTTACCTTGAATTTTTTGCAACTGAACATATAATTTTTTACGCCTGTCTGTTAGAGGATTTCAAGACGAATCTGGCACATGTAAGGACATGACATTTTTTTCATCCGGTTCGAAAGAAAATTAAAAAACTTTGTATCACAAGGAGAATCACAGCTACGCCGTTATTACGCAACCGACGTTGTTGACAAGTCAAAATTTACCAATCTTAATTGTAGCGATGTTCAAAATGGTGTCCACGAGCTGCAATGCACTCGCGTAGACGGTGAACAAAAGATTGTTTTGCATTCTTTATGGCCTCTACACTGATGGTGGAGCATGCATCCGCAATCCTTCGTCGCATATCTTCCGGTGTTGTTGGAACATCTGCATAAACTTTTTCCAACAACACCGGAAGATATGCGACGAAGGATTGCGGATGCATGCTCCACCATCAGTGTAGAGGCCATAAAGAATGCAAAACAATCTTTTGTTCACCGTCTACGCGAGTGCATTGCAGCTCGTGGACACCATTTTGAACATCGCTACAATTAAGATTGGTAAATTTTGACTTGTCAACAACGTCGGTTGCGTAATAACGGCGTAGCTGTGATTCTCCTTGTGATACAAAGTTTTTTAATATTCTTTCAAACCAGATGAAAAAAATGCCATGTCCTTACATGTGTCGAATTCGTCTTGAAATCCTCTAACAGACAGGCGTAAAAAATTATATGTTCAGTTGCAAAAAATTCAAGGTAACCTTGAAAAAACATTAAAAAAGAGAGTTGACCTGTAATTTTTCACTATCACGTTAAAGCTCTCTTGAAACCATGCAAAAACTGATACAAACATTTTCGATCGGACTGCTAATAACAAAGTAATTTCTACTGACCACGCTCCGTGGTTCACCCTGTATAAGCAGACGAAGCAACACATTGCAGGACCAACATTATGGTGTAGCGTCAAATTGTTTGAATTACATCAGGTGATGAGGCATGAATCAATTGTTTCCAAATATATTAACAAAGATCGGAAATGGCACAAAATTGCAGAATAATGAGCAAGAATTACTGGAGTCACGGTTCTTCACAAAGGAACAAACTGAACAACTCTGTCCTCGCGGTTTAGTCTTTTCTTATCGAATAATTCAGTGAACGGTTATAATCATTCTATTCTTAGTAATATTGCAGATAATATTGTATCTCCAGCTACAGACGTATACATTGGGTATCACAGCACAAATCAGGAAGCTTTCATACGACAAAAAATACACAAAATGTCAGTCATAGACACCGGAAGTTTGCCGTATGAAATCACATTAGTTATCGGTAAGCCATACGTAATAACATTGATGTTTGTGATGGAATGACCAACGGGGTCTAGGAACATTGGTGCATATCGACCGTGATAATAATGATGAAATAACGCGTATCTAGCTAGAGTTTACAGACACAGCTAAAATTGGTCAGAAAATGAGAAGTAAAGTGAGCACTTACATGCAACTTAACAACATCAGACGAAGAGCTGTGCCCATTGCACGCCGAACTTCAAATATTACTATGAACAACAACAAAACCATTTCTGTCAAAAGGAATTATTTTCCAGTTATTGCTGCATGCGCAGTCACTATTCATAAATCGCAAGGAGGTAGGATTGATGAGGTAGTTTATGAATATGATAAAACTCATAGCTAACAGCTTGTGTACGTGGCAATGTTCAGAGTGACCACAATCAATGGACTCTACATTGTTACGAAAGACGACAGCAAGGTGTTTCATCATGGCAGCAGGAATGCATCATCAATGGACGGATCACTGTCGGAATTTCGTAGACTCGCTCTGAATCGATTGTCGACAATCGACAATTTACTGAACGAGTTTATCACCACCAGAAAAGGACTGGCAATCTATTCTTTCAACTGTTAGAGTTTACGGAAGCATGCAGCAAGTCTCAACAGGTCAGTTATGAATAATTCTCATATTTTAAAGCTTTCTGAAACCTGCTTGAAAAATAATGAGAATATTGATGTACCTAACTTTGACTGTGTTGTCCAGTTCAAACGAGATAATGTCAGAAATGGTGGAGTTGCTATATACCAGAAGTCTAACAATGCTACTGCGGTTCTGACGTCTAATACGGACATAACTTTACGACTAATTACTTCACTGTGAGTTAATGCTGCTGACGTTGGGGAAATCTGTGCAGCTTGTTGCCTTTTGGACAACGGACAAATGATCATGACTGTCGTTGTGTACATATCACCGAACCAGTCTATTCCAAAAATCATGCAATTTATTCATGAAGTTTTGGCTCTCTACACCCATGATGTCACAGCTATAGTGAATGTGGACTACGACAAGATGCCAATGATTATGAATGGAGATTTTAATGTGAATTTCGCAGCACCAGAAGCAAAGCCCTTGCTACAATTTTTAGAATTTAAATTAAGCTTAACAATGAACAATGATCCAGCTCTATCTACAATAAAATATGGAACAACAATAGATGCTGTATTTTCACGATATTTAAACAAATTACAATCAACAGTTTAGGTGTCACACTTCAGTTATCACAGACCACTACTGTCAGTCCTTGAATACGATTCCATGGAAATTAAAGAATAAATGTATTTATTCTTTTATTTACTTAATATTACCCCTTCTCGACCTTATCACCAGCTAAAGAAGTTTCACTTCTAACATGCGTGGCGGCCACACACTCTTTTTTATGTAAAATTGGATGCTCTTTCAGGTCTTGTGAAAAAAAGTGCACCGTTCTATTTAAAAAATCAAAGTTGACCTTCACCTAACCTTGGCGGCTCCACCTACGATAAATCTGACTATACCATCTTCTTTCCCCCTCAAAATCAAGAAAGTTTCATATAAAATGTATTTTTCGTATGTTGCTTAATTTACGAGATATCAGCCTGAGGCGATTAAAAAAAATCACCCTGTATATTATTACAACCCAATGTTGCTTAGACTGACAATGATTAGAAACTAGTTATCAAAAATGCCGGATGATCCTACAAGCTAGTATTATACAAGAAGATTTCGCAATGCCGTATCCGCTCTCACTCATTCATACTCACATATTGATGATCTATCGGCCTACACGCCCTCGCTATCTCAATGGTTGGACTTAGAACTTGCCACAGCTATCGGTCCTTCGATCTTTTATAATTTCTCTTAAACTATACGACAATATATTGTTCGTGGCGGAAATCAAAGTATTTTTAACTAAACTCACATTGGCTGACGACGCTATGCGAGCAACTCTTTGGGCTCGACACGACCTTATCGACTTACTAACGGCGGTGTGTAACAGAATGTGGAACTCCCGTGAGAATGATAGCCGCCGGGTGATGCCATTGTGAGGAGCTACTTCAGCCCGAACTTTGCGTTCTGATGTGTATCTGGAGACCAATTTTCTTTCGCTGATCTATTCTACTTTCTGCTGAAAGTTGGTGGACAGACGGGAACAAGTCCTACAAATTCAGTGGTTTTACTCGTACGAGCGAATTCTGGAATTTCTGGTTCACACATTCTAAGCACTGCAATAAGACCGGAAGTTAGCTTCCTTTCATAATGCTGCGGTCTGCATCTCCGGATTCGCGTGATTTCTCTGTTACATTCCAGTGGGTGATGCCCAGTTGCGCACAAACCCAATTGGACAAAAATGCGAATTTCTGCCTCTTGAGCGATATTCCATCAGTACTTCAACAATATTGTAAATTATCTTTATCTGACGGAGCCTTTTCAGACATTTAATGCTCTCATCAGTCATCAGACGATATACTTATCCACTAACCTACCCAGTCTTCGAAATTTGAACATTCCACCCTATCCTAACCTTACCTAACTAAACCTAGCGTAAACTAAGGTTGAACCACATACAATATACTATAATAAGACATCATTCGTACCTAATTCTATTCCATCTATTTAAAAGTGTACAGAATTTGGAGTAAAACGTCATTTGTGTCCAATTGGTCTGTGCGCCAGTGCCCCCCTCCCCATTCCATTATCTTATTAATTTGCTTCCCTTATTTAAACATATGTGAGAGAGTCTAAACCCAAACACACGGCAAATCTACCTACCTCGGACTTTGCCTTCATTCGACAAAATCATGCCTAACCATTCGACAGAAAGCAGATACGCTTAGCGTTTAAATGGTAGACCACATTTAAAATATATCTCCGCCCTAGTCGCTTCCTTAGCTAAGGCTTAACAATACCACTGTAAGATAATATTATACTTTGAGCAATAAGTAGTATAAGTTTGGGGGTTCTGGATATAGATTCCTGCACCGACATAATACCGACACTCCAGAGCCTTCGAAGGAGGGTGTCCGTGCTAAGTTGCCGTCGTGAGCTCTACGATTTCTGAAAGTGACGTCATCAGGACCCTCGATTCCAAGAATTTTTGCTCGATTCCGGGAATTTTGCGTCACATTCCGGGAATTTGGCGCTCGATTCTAGGAATTACGCACGATCGAGAACCTTCTAGAACATTCTAGAACCTTCTAGAACATTCTGGAAGCTTCGACGATTCGTGTCCGTGCTAAGTCGGGAAGGTTCGCTCCCAGAGCCGGCGGTCCTCTCGCTCGACGTTTTGAGACAGCCCCTTGCCCCCCACCCCGGAA